CTTTTGGGGTTGCAGCTGACATTTTTAAAAGAACACATCTGTATCTGATGGTGAAGTGGTTCATTTAACTCTGGAGGCGAGAGCTTTAAGCAAAATTAAAACTAAAGATCATCAGGAATGGATTTGAAAGTGATTGCCTCCAGTAGGATGTGCTGATTTAATCTGATTGCCACTTGTTAAATGCCATGGTAGCTATTCGAGTAGGAGAAAGTATGCTACACTCTGCTGCCTTTCACTCACTGGCAGACAAGACAACTAAAGTTTGCGAATTTCTCTGAATATTTTAAAACACTTGACAAATTAAGGGGCTCTAATCACACCCGCCTAAAGGAGTTAAGAGTTTTTTAGTAGGCTTCTTTTCTCATTTCTTCCACTTTCCACCTCATTAGTACTTTTGACTGTAATCCCTGACACGATGCACAATGCATTACTTTAGCCTTGACTATTTTCTCCTTATTTGCAGGCAAGACTTCGTAAATTATTTACCTTAACTCACCAGAAAGGCGGTAGTGTACAGACGGTGTAAACCTTTGTGTGACAAATCGCTTAACCAACTTTTATGGTATGTAGATGTAAATTTCGTTCCAGGACAATTTTGATTAGCAAGAATCACTCGTTTTGGATTTTTTCACTTCTTTTGTTTCTCTCATATCCATTTTCGTGCCCTTCAAAAGTCCTGAACCGCACTTCTCTTCTCTGAACATGGAAAATGCAGGCGCTCAGCTATTTACAGTAAGTTTACTTATAGGCTGACAAAGGGTTGCTACTTTTGACACCTCCAGCCCCTCTTCCAGGGGACTACTTGGCCCTATTTCATGCCGCTCGTTATTTCAGTTATTTCTATCGAAAGGTGTTGTACGGATTTTACAGTTCCCTGGTATATTTCTCCAAATCTTGGCAACACTCCTTAACTGCCATCTCAGCTTTTGCACTACTAGCCTTGTAAGAATAAGCAGCCCTCCTTCTAAGTCGAAGTGCTCCTCACTGACCTCTCCTACTTGGCAGGCATGCAGACACGCTAGCCTCTAAATCTCCTTTGGTTTCCACTAATTCATTAAACAAGAAAATTTCAAGTCCCAGTACGTGCGTCACGCCTATAAATAATCCATTAATACTCATAACCACGCAATCGCACCCGATTGCATGAAAATGGCGACCCCTGTACGTTTAAATTTGTCCAGATAAACTCTAAGAAATGTTTTTTAATGAGACAGTACACACTAGTTTCCTAACTATGGTTAAGGATACGTCTTTCGCCTTCCCCCATTAATATGTCCATCTACATTTCTGAGCCTTTTCTTACTCCCTTAGTTATCAGAAAACCCATAATCTCTTTGGCAACATTTGCAAATTTTGTTATTTTCCAGGCTAGTATAGGGGGAAGTTTGTGTGCTCCTGTGTCAGAATGCTAGTCTGCTGGCCTGTAAACATTAATTCCTTTTTTTGTTAATTTATTCTATGGGATGGCTGTGCTTCTAGTTCTCTTCTATTTTAGCTATTCGTCTCCAAATCATTACTATTTTAGTTAGCCTCAATTCAAATGAGGACTGTCTATACAGGAAAAAGATCACCATCTCTTCCCAATGTAGGTAATAACTCGTAGCTTAAACAAATTCATCACAAGACATCTTGGCTAAATTCAACTTTCACCTTTTTGTCAAAAATCGTCTTTCCTCTTCAGTATTCCGAGAGACACCTAAAGCCGTACAAAGTGGCTAATCATTAGCGTTAAGATAGTCCAAAAGGCCGTATATAGACCATTCCGCCCTGGAGGATGCACGGACCGTGGAGATTAAAGGGACCACGCTGCTTGACATCCACTTGACCTATTGCCAATGTAATTGACTACCTCCAGTTGTCTGCCTGTTCACTGCCCTCCGCTCACCGTTAAACCGAGTCAGCGTTATTAACGTGTCTAGTCAGGCCAACATGGATAAGGATTTGCCGCTAGAATACAGACAGAATTAAAATCCAAGTGATTACTTTGCTAAATGTATAATTGAACCAAATGTCGTCGGGCCGCACAGTTCTCCCACTGTAAGCGTTCCCTGTAAGCACTCTCGGGTGCTAGTCGAAAGACCGAATCATCTGTCTTTTCGGGTCCCTCTCCGTCGCAGTTCGGATGAAGATGAGAGATCAAAATGCGCCTACCACTAGCCGGAAAGATAGAGATGGGGAGCACTGACAACCCACACCTAGGCACCTCATAACGTCAGTGTCACTTTGATAGGCGAGAGTGTGGATATTCGTCCCTACCAGCCACGTGTTTACCGTGATCCCACACTACTAGCAACAGGAAATGACATGATATGAATTTCAATTTCGTATTCAGTACAATCCAAGTTAAACCATGAATTTTAAGTTTGCCCAAAATACTTTTAATTAGTCCTCCTTTACATTTATATTCATCCCTTGAGTTCTATTTCTCCAAAAGCCTGGACAAAGAAGAATTTAAGTACGGCTTCATCGTCGGTGCATTACTGTCCAGTATGTGCCAACATTCAAAAATTAAAATGAATTTCCGTAGAACCTTTCACTTTAGGCTGTGCGTCGATTATTCAAGATCGGGTATCCCACATGTTGGATTTCACTCAAATGCTTGTTGCGATGTGGCCTGGCAAGCGCAGTCATTCGTAACGCCGCCCCCAAATTATCCACATGATTTAAATGAGTGGCCGAACGGCTCAATGCTGTACCGCACACAAGTGTATTTAAAATCATCTTTTCGCGTAGAATTCTGAGAAATACGGTTTCACTTTAATGGTGAAAAGGTACTCTATTTACTGTCAAACATATTTTCTTACACTCACTCAATGTCATTGCCACTTGCCCTCTTGATGAGTGGAATTTGGACTGATCACAACATGTGCATAAACTATTACGAGGGGTAATGAGACATAGTCTGCAAGCACTGAAAAGCAGTGTAGAATTTTAGGAATTCGCAGTATCTTTTCTGTAGAAAAACGAATCCGACATTCAAAACAGAAAGCAAATCAATTTCCTCTAGGATCAAATAGATTGACATTGAATTGCATATTTACCCACATCTAAAAGCCAAGTAGCAGTTCAACTGGTATACCTCATTCTTCAGGCATTAAGCTCACGCGATCAGTCTCTTCGGGCACGTAGATCCACCTTCCCTTTGCACTTTAGTCTTTTACAGTAACGCAAATACACGTGCACGTCTGGAATGACTACGGGGTTTCAGCGGTGAAGAAATTTGACCTCATTTTGGTGGCGCACCTCAAGTCGTCCACTACTGATTAGTAAATTGACCCTCCTGACTTGTATCCGCCAGCTGCAAACAAACTTCAAGCTTAGTTTTGGCTATCCCATTTATCCTGAGGTAAACAGAACCACAGCATATATTTGCAGCCATATTCCTGCTTGAACAGCCACAAAGGATCCATCAAATATTGGTACTACATTTTGGCGCTACTTATTAGATGGAGGTGAAAGTATCCTGTCCAACTTAAAGTGAGCTTCACAACCTGTTTGGTTTGTAAGCGTGTGACGATCAATGGGTGATTTGCTTTCTTTAATGCCAGAGACCAAGAAATGCATTCCCACAAAAAAAATGAAAGAAAATCTTGTCATTCAGAAAAGAATAAAGTTGGATATTTGAATTAAATGCTTTAATTCATCTTATTTTCAGTTCAGTTTCCGAACCCGCTTACTACTCTTGTTTTGATTCGTGGAGTGCGTTATCAAAATGAGGGCCTAACAGTAGCAATCATAAGAGCAGTCAACAAATCATTTTTCCAATTTTTTTCTTTCTATTTTTAGCAACATAAAATACAATCCCTAGGTTTACGACACTAACCAAAGCGTTGCATATTATCCAGCCAATGTACTGAAATCAGATTTAAGTAAAGGCATCATAATATTTTAAATGCGTAAGAAGTGAAATTAACGATTGTTTGAATGAAAAAGTCAAAGTGCTTTACAGAATTAATTTTAGTGCTTTCACGTATTGTAGCACTTTTACTATTTTGTAAAGCACTTGTCCTTTTAGTCGTCACCAATTCAGATGAATACACCAACCTACAAACCAGCAACGAAAACCAAGGTATCGTCAGTGTTGTGAAGTGTTGATTTGCTATGACCACGGTCACCACTGGCATCTCAAACAGGGTAAACAAGACCAAAAATGCATTACAGATATTTATGTTGTCGGCGTGCGTTCATGCGATGATGGACTGAGATCTGGATCGGGCCTCTCCATGAGCACAAGTAGAGTTTTGTGGGTATGAGGACACTTCAATTGTCTCCGCTTCAAATGAGCTAGTCTGAAGAAATAACAGCGAAATGCTTCTAGAACGTTTGTAACAGGAACAAATTACATTAAAGGACTAATTTTATGTAAGGTGAAACAGTTCTACACTTTTATCAGCTGGGAAGAACGAGCGAAAGCAGAGGCAGGAAGGCCACTAAGCAGGCGGCCCTCACACGCGTTAAGGGACAACAGCAAACTCAAAACACGATCTGCTCGTTGACCCCACTTCTTCCAAACTTGTGATCAAAATGGTTTTTTGTATTCCGATGTTCAGCCAATGGACGCACCATTGGTTATCCCAACCCTGTCAGTACCCACACTACTTCACACGTCAAACTAAGAGGCCTGTGTGTAATGCGTGAATGGTGCACTGTAGACGCAATCGTTTTGAAGAAGTCGCCTGCATGCTAAAGTCCAAACATGAGGTATGGATGCGATGATCCTACTCACTACAATTCCAAATATCTTAAAGGTGCCTAACATTAATTTTACCTTGGATACAAGTAGAAATAGTGAGACAATAGGAAGACGGCTCTTATCACACTTCTCGAAAGACACCACAAACACTCCTGTGAAAAAGATAAGCAGCTAGGCAGAAAGTAAGGTGTCTTTGGCCAATTTTTCCGATTCTAGAAACAAGACTTCCGTGTAAAGTTAGAATTTTTGGACTTATGTCTCTTTAGGGAGTCAGCACAGATACGAGGTAATCACTTCAATAAATAAGATGTATTTAAAAGTTGTTCTTTTGTTAGTTAGTCTGTATTATCGAAACTCGCATGAGCTTTTTCCATTGCCGGCTTCGGCTTTTGTAAAAGCTAACATTTCTTGGATATATTACATGGAAATGTTATGTTTTAAGACTTTCCTGAAGGCGAAAGAAGATGATGCAATACTCGGGCAGAATATGTGTCATCCAAGAGCTCTTGCGTTGTAAGCCTCTGCATATTCAGTCACCCACTGCGATTGCCTTACTTCCATGAGCCATATGCACGCTATCCAGTCGAAGTAACTGGATCTGTTATTCATTTTAAAAGGCTTGCCCATTGTTGCCGTCAGCGTAGCATTCAATTCACTCCTGAAGACTCCACAATATGCATGAGCTTGAATTGATAGTGTGTTGAGGAACATGATGCAAACGTAGCCCCAGGGCAATATTTGGGTAACAAGAACCATCTAGATTGTTAAAAACAATATTTATGCTAATTGTCTTGCTCTACATCACACTGAAGTGGTTTCCATTTCTACTGTCTCCAGTATTTGCCGTGCATTTCAAAACTACTTTTCTTTCTCACTTATTTGTGCAAGCTGCAGTTATGAAGCAGTGAAAGAGGTTCACTGACCTTCTGCAGTGAGCGTCCCTTCGTAATAACGTTAAATCAAAGGATAACTACTCGATTCTTGTCCCTGTCCTTGCTCTCCCCCTTCCAATGTAATTCCGTGCAGTGTGACTTCTTGCATGGCATCAGAGTTATTCAACTTTTGTCCATAAAGTGATGGCAGAGCTTATTTTTTACTCACAGTAGAGTGCAGCTTTAGTTGGCCCCATAGTTGCTGTAAACTGTTCTGGCTGTTTTCTTCTAAAGGGATAAAATATGTCAGTCAACTCTCATCGCCTTGCCATCAGAAGCTGCTGCTGCTGCTGCTGCTTAAGACGGTAAAAGCAAGGCTGCAGACTATAAACATGGCACTTGACCCTCGGGAATCCCAAGAATCTCTTCGCCACATTACAAACTGCAATGCATTTCGGCAACCATGGATTAGGTTATGAGCATCCACTCTGAACAAAGAGAGCCAGTAGCCTAGAGTAGGTGTGTGAAAACACCACTGCAGCGGAGAACAGGCGTATCTGCTCTCCTCTAATAACCAAAAGATTTATGGAAATATCGCTTCGGAGCTCTCACATGCCGTTTTGGCCTTCAGTGCGATTCGCTGTCTTGACGGTCATCTCGCAGCCAATCAGGTACTTTGCGATTCGGCGCACGAGAGCAAACTGCCTCGCAGTACTGAGGAAACAACGCATAAATTTGAGCTGTGTACCCCACCTTCTCCGTTCTGCGTCCTTTTCATGCACCATCTAGTCTCCCTTTTGCAGTTCAGAATTAGACAAACATTAATTTGGTACAGCTGCGTGCCTTTGTGCAGAAAGCAAATTTACGTTTCAACACGTTTTCCTTCATTCCTTTTTACCACATTGGAGGTAGCAGTCAGTTGAACTTACTCGTGATTGGAGAAGTGGGGTCTAGATGTTCGGCAACTTTGTACAAATTGTTATTTTGTCATGGTTTCACCTTCAAAACGCCTGCAGCGTGTCCCGTGGCTGTGAGAGTACCAATGAGTACATCTAAAATCACTGGTTTTTTGGAAGAAATATGCCTTATTTTAGACGTACTCTTGACCAAATGGGCCGCGGGATTCAGTCACCATATTGGTGTCGCACTCAAGGCGTTTCTGTTGGCAGCCTAGTAATTAATCAAGTCCCATTTGGGCCCATACCTCCCTAATCACTTTTGTCTGCTTCACATTGATGCCAGCGAGTAGCGCCAATTTTTGAATAAAGATTCACATAAATAAAATAACTAGCTTGAAAACGTAAATCGGTGGAGGCTCACTCCAGATGCGCTATGTGATGCGGGTAAGCATAGAACAATCACTCTAGTGAGGCGATTCGCACACAAATAAATGCCACATTTGAAATGCTGCAAGGCCTCCATTATGGAGTTGTCTAAGACATCTGCCTAGTGAATAGTGTCCAACGGGCGATTCGGACTTCACAGGATTTTAAGAAGCTGTATTAATCCACATGGTGAAATTAGCAGCTTTTGACTGCAAACAAAGTGGCCAAGAAGAATGAGTTGCAGTTTTACCCTGCTAAACATTTATCAAATTAAACATTTTACCTAAAGGTTTGTTTTAGGGCAAAGGCTGTCACGAATGATGATTGCTATGTAACATATCTTCATTGTCAAACGTGGACAATCACTGAGTAGTACATAGTTGGAGATATTATGCAACAGATTAATTTTGATCCGCTGAACTCGGTGGGAGGCATCTCTGACATGGCGATCAAGAGTCTTCCCACCTCAGTGGAAATTAAACGGACAACCATCTTTGCTGTCTAGTTAATTGATGCGACAGTGGACGTTTGTTTTACTCGTGCAGTCGGCCTCCACAGCCATGACATCGCGTTCGCGTGCATTACCCCACAGCTGTTCTTCATGTTGCTTTTATAGCTTCCCACTCACAGGTTTTCACAGAACAATAGGAAATCTCTTTTTGTACTTTACCATAATTGCCTTTAGAATTTATGTCTGTTTGAGAGTAGAATTCTGACTTTTCACTACTCACAGTTTTTCTTCAGGGAATTTTTTATCTTTTATATCCACTTTTGCAAAATCTTGTCAAATCGGAGGCTTAATACGTTAAGAATCTTTCGCATTCATACTACAGACAAAGTTTGCTTTTTTCCTCTTTGAAGCAATTTTATTGTATCTCGTCGCCTTTGAGACAAGGTTATTATGAAAAATTAGACTTGACCGTGTCAGTAATTTCCCGCTGTCAGCTCAGTGTTACAAATGTCCCATACCTGACCAAAAACGGCCTAAATATCAGTTGCCTGAAAATAGAAAAAGGCCCAAATCCGATACATACTACGAATATTCTGGTTTTGCAAGGCAATGCTCCGAGTTTTCTAGCAGAACTGGGAAGCTATTAGCCTGGCTCGAAGGACATGCTGTAAAAAGAAGGTACAAATTTTGTAGATGAAAGAACCCGCATAGTTATACGCATAGTTATACGTCCATGAAGGAAAGGTCTGTAGATTTCAGGCATTAAAGTACTGTCGGAAGTGATAAAGGGAATAAATTGAGAAAAGGGTTTTGCATTCATTACCCCATAAAAGTTGCACGTTGATGAGCGCGACTGTGTATCGCATTTTGCAGACAAAAAGTGGTTATATTTGATTCTCTTTTACCCCTTTGTGTGTTAGCAGAGGAAATGGCTAAGGCTATCCGCTTCACCTGCCCGTCCCAATTACAGAAATTTTTCATTCACACACCAAAAATGTCACCGCTCTCTGCGTCTTTTGTTTACTCATACCATTTCCAATTTCTCTCTGGCACATTTTCATCAAGAGCTCACCCTAGAGGCACGAATATCTGAATGGTTGAGTTGTATCACTGACTTCCAAGTCGAATAAAATGAGCAAAATAAGAAACAATTTGGCGTCAATATTTAGCCTTTTCTTTTAATTTTGGCATCATTGATAGAAGCTAACATTCTCGCACTTTTTTAAGCAAGCAATTACACTGAATGGGATCATTTGTTTAAATTGGATGATGTTACTTCGCTTATTTCCCAAACAATTCTGGGATGTGAATGCAATTATTTGCATATAGCCAAGGAGGACCGAAAGCCAACACTCATTGGAACAGCTGGTAAATCAAATCCCATATTTTATCCATTAATCACAGCACAAATTACAATTCTCTCATTTCTGGCACTTAATTAAATCAATTACCAATCTCACTATTCTACTGAAATCATATTTAAGTAGATGTATGGCAATACAAAAAGTACTTCCGACACAAATTCAACAATTAATCATAGCGGATGGTTAAAGTGTTATTAGGAAATAACTTTTGTCTTGGAGTAATATGATACTTCTGTTGATCTGTAAGACACTCTTTTCCTTAGTAGGGGATGCGAATCTCGACGGCAGTCCAAATGAATACACCAACCTTCGAACTGATAACGAAGATCAAGAGAGCATCATTGTTGAAAACCGCTGATTTGCCTGTGTCCGCGGTCACTACAGGGATCTCAGCTACAGCAATTAAGAGATTAAGCCCATCAATACGGATGCTTGTCCTGCCATCGTGAATACACGCGATGTCTGGCTGAGGCATGAATATGGTCTTATCCTCATGCATTTGTAGAGTATTCATTGGCTCTGGTCGCGCTTTGGATTAAAGTGCATTCTTTGAGGCTAGCCATTTATTTTTCCTTTTTTTGAATATTTTATTAATGTGTTAACTAAAATACTGCAAATTTCTATTCGCCATGCTTCATAACGTGCACCTCTTATCCAAGTAACGAAATATTACTTGTTTTCATCCCTATATTTTAATAAATGTAGCTTGTAATCGCATTTTCTACCTAGGTGTTATCTTTGCTTGAATTTACCAAAATGCCTGAGCCTGTGCAGGTCTTTATTACAAATCTCTTAAAAGGGTTAAATAAAAGCTAACTATCATGAGAGATATGAAACCCCATGACACAAATGGTAAAGATGGAACTTGCCTAGACATTTATATTTCATCACAGGCACTTTTTAAAAGAGTCCACTGAATTTCGGTGCCTGCACAAAACATTTCTACATCAGGAAAAGAAGTTTTACTCAAAGGGAAGAGACACCGCGTCGTGCTATCACAGATACATCACGTAGGTGTCCCGTCTTGTAAAAACCTTTGTTAAAACACACTGCCATTCAAAGAGCAAGTCTTCAGCATCCGTTCCTCCTTGCCACCCTCCAACCCGCGATTCGTCTATCCTTGGTAGAATCGAGGATGATGAAATGAAGATCATTTAGTTTGCAGGCGATGTGACTTCGTATCTTCCTAAACATACTGAACATTAAATTTGCCACTGTTCTCTATCACAGCCTTCTCAACTGAATGGGGAATTGGGCGACTGCAGTGGTGGGTTTGGAAGACACAATGCTCAAAATCGCACTTTCAAGGCGCGTAGCTCCAGCGTCTGTGGCGTCAGTGAATCTGTCGGTCTACTAACAGCCACACTTCAGTTATGTCAGCCACAGAAAAAATATGCGCAATATGGAGGTGAAACTCCTTTAATCCTTGAATGGTAAGCGCTAGCACAAGAAATTATGCATGATTTGTTTAACTAAACCCTTTTTTCGATAATACAAATGTGAAGAACACTAAAATTCTCTTACGAAATGCTCGCTCATAATGCTTGACTTGTTACGTTTAATCAAAGATCCAGGAAGCTTTAAAGACTATCAAAAAGTCTACCCATAAAGCTAAGTTCTTCTTCCAAAAAGACTGGCATATTTTTATTAAAGCTTCTGAAATTTTCAGTGAATGCTACTACCGCAACATTCACGAATATGTCTTGAGTGTATTCTTGCGTCCTCGTGTTTTATTAATGAAATCGGAGAAATAAAGTTTTTGCCTCAAGCAGTAGCGGGTAGAACCCATCCACCACACCTTCTTACCCATTTCAAGTGGTGTCATCTGCCGAAAAGCCCCGGACTGGCACTCCTGCTTGATGACTTTAAACCAGGCCTGCAGCATTATCATACTTCTTTAGTGACAGGTACATCAAGTTGTTTATTTAAAAAATCATATTTTACTTCGTGATCTTAGTAGTTATGGTCCAATACTAGCGCATTGCAATCCTTCTTAAGAATCCTAATTTTACATCACGCCTTTTTATAGGACCCGTGCATTTGGTTGCCAAATTAGTAAAGTTTATCAAATTGTAAGATTTTTTCTAAAGAGTTTGAGAACCGCCACCCCGATCACTTACCACCTTGGCCATTGGGTTCTCCTTGACCATTTGAGTTCTCTTCTGTGGTTTTTCAATTTTTAAAACTGTCGTAGCCTTCAAGTGAACTCTAGCTATTATTGTTACTTACACACAGACCTGATCTTACTTTATAACGAACTCTTTGTCACACCATCCGTATTTTGGTGTTTACTCTTCACGGAAGTCATTGTGCAAAAGGCACAGCTAACTGAAGATATCCAACTTTGTTTGGGAGAGGGAACTAGTTATACGGGGTATTTCCCGGTTAAACAGAAAATGCTGACCTTATAAATGATAAAGAATTTCATCTTATCTCCACTTAAACTTATCCACTTTCTCCAGTTACAAACTATGCTTTAAAGACTTTCGAAACTAATAAGTTTGTCGGTACGTCTAGACCATCCCAGGACAGTTCTTTTCAATACCTAGGGTGGGTTAACTTGTCGAAACTCCAATTGTTCCCCACTGGTATTGGTATGTCCGCCGCTATCACAGATAAATGCTTCCCTTCCTCAACCTAAAGTTAAATAATGTGTTGACCGTCCTAGGATCAGACTGGTATGACTGCTATGGGCTGTGGACGAAACTAATATGGTCGTCAAAGAATCGTGCAATGCTCGAAATTGCGGAGATGCTAAGTGACTGGGCATCTCTATTCTTGTTGTGGTTGAAGCCCTCAGAAAGTGTCTGTGAGGTGAGGGCTTCATCAATCCGAAACTTCGTTCATCGCCACTATTAACAATGAGCACCGCCTCTGCTGTCCATCATCTTGGTCACTAATGCTTGAATCGGACTGGCCAGGGGATTAGAAGCAATGTTATGCCATTGACACTACTGCGTGTGATGCCGTGTTATTCGGTAGAACGAGATGCTATCTTTTGAAGTCAACGCACTTTGTTTAGCCGTCTTAAGTAGTGTCATCTGCTGAAAGGTGCGGGACTGCTACTTTTGCTCGTTTACTTCACTTTAAACTAGGCGTGCAGCATTATACACCAAGTTACTCATTTAAACAAATCATGTTTTACTCCGTAATCTTAATAGTAATGGTCCAAGACTAACTCATTCCAATTCTTGTAAGAATTCTAATTTATATCACGCCCTTTTTATAAGACCCTTGTTTTGGGTCACCAAATAAGTAGAGTTTTTCAAATCATAAGAATTTTTATAAAAGGTTTAAGAATCGCCACGCTGGTCACTTTCTCCCTTAGCCATTGGGTTCCCTTTGACCATTTGAGTTATCCTCCGTAGTTTCGCAATGTTTAAAAATTATCGTGACCTCCAAATGAACTCTGATTATCTTTCTTACTTACATAAGAACCTGATCTTACTTTATCACGGACACATTGTTACACCATGCGCTTATCGGTGTTTACTTTTCACAAAAGTTACTGCGCAAAAAGCACAACAAACTGAAGATGACTAACTTTTTCCGGTAGATAATGTCGAGGAGTGTAGTGAGCTAGTTATACGGGATGTTTCCTGGCTAAACAGAAGCTGCTGACGTTATAAATGATAAAAAATTTTATTTTTTCTCCACTTAAATTTATCCATTTTCCCCAGTTTCAAACTAGGCTTTAAAGACCTTCAAAGTTGAAAGGCTTGTCAACGCTTCTAAACTATTTAAGGACAGTCCCATTTGATACCTAGGATGGGTCGACCTGTCTAATTTCCAGCTATCCCATCATCTTGGCCACTGGTGTCTAAATTGGACTGGACACGGGATTAGCAGCGATGGAACGTTCTTGCAATTACTGCGTGTGGTGGCTTGTTATTTAGTAGGACAAGACGCTAACTTTTGAAGGTGTCAAGGACAACGAACTATAAGGAAGAATTTGACACCGCGCGAAAAGTAATGCAGATGGCCAACCGACATTTTGCGTCATTTGAGTAGTGGAGGAGGCGACAGAACGAGGATCCTGTAGCATTGCAATTCCTCTGCGCCAAGCTGAAGGAAGACAACACCCCATGTCTGGAGGTCCTGAGTAAGCTTAAGTAGGTTTGTTTTCACCTCTTTCATTATTTATCCCTTTTATATACATAGTGAAGGACTTCTCAGAGGAACTACAACCGCATTCAAGCGCAATCGCAATTGGCATGGACCCGGACGTTGTAGCTTCGAAGTGAGCTCCAGAGACGTTATAAGGCATGAGCCTGAAATTGGCTCCATTTTAAGCGTGTGGAAGGACTTAAGGAGTGCCGCCAAAGGTGTCATGACTAGAATTGTATAGTAATGTTGTCAAGGCTGACACGTGTGCAAATGAAGTTCACAATTTCAAAGCTAATACTTCATGACAGGTGGCGAAGGTCTATTGCTACGATGAAACATGCAAATCACTTTCTTTTAATCTTTTGCATGGAAATTAAATTATTATTTTAGGCTATGGGTAATTCCCCGTGCCAATCTCTCTTCCAGGAGGATTAAGTGAAATTCAATTTGAAGCGCGACCTCTTTGAAATGAAACTGCAAACTCTCTAATTAAAAGGAGAAACTGAAACAGGTTCGACCCAATCTTCAGGGGGCTGTTTAGGAGAGCACAATGAGTCTGAAGGCATTTTTTGGTTTCATATTTATCCATTCGAAAAATGCACGATTCTTGAATTCTCTACCTGACTTGTAGGAGTATCCGTGTAGCTCACAATTTCTGGAAATGCTTTAGCACCTTATTATCTGGCCTTAGGCAAAAAATACCTTCGTAGACTTTCATATTTACTTCTCTTTTAAGTATCCTGGACCATTTAAGCCTACTTCTTCATAAAAATGACCCATATTATTTAAAGCTTACCTTACTTAAGTGCTATTATTTGAATGCTAGTCTAAGAGGTTGAATGTACAAGATGCCTTCTTGATTAATCAGCAGAGAGAAAACAAACGACTTACCTTTCCACCATTTATTCAAGGCATAAGGTTATTATGCTGGACGGGGGTCGTAGGTCTCCTCTTCCATATTCCTTGCGCTCGTGGTTGGTTTGATTTCAAGACATTTATTGGGGCAAGTGAACGGAGGAAGTTAGTACAGGATTCAGTGAGGGTGGAGTGTGGACGCGTAACCACTCTGAGGCTTGCAGGACGTGGATTCAAGGCTTAATTCGTATCCCCACCTCCTCTCTCAAAGGAACACTAAAGCAACATAAGTATTACAGTTATTTTGACTGAAGCTGAGAGAAGCTCACTAGGTACTAGTAGATTGTTAGAACGTTTGGAATTGCCGCACTCTGTATTTATAAACATTTGACAACTTTCTTTCAATCAATCTACTCTTTTAGAAAAAAAATTCAATTCTTAAAAACTTGTGGTCGTGTAACCGTTCTCAGACTTGCTGGACGTGGACTCCACTGTCACGAGGTTTGATTCTTATTTTCGCCTCCTCTCTGAAAGGAACATTTAAACAACGTAAGTATTACAGTTATTTTGTCTAAATCTGAGAGTGGTTTACCAGATTTTATTAAATATTTAGAACGTTTAGAATTACCACACTTTGTATTTATAAACGTTTGACAACTTCCTTCCAGTCAATTTATCTGTTTATGGGGAAGAGATTTAATTTTTGCAACCTTTGCGGTCGTGAGCCGAGAAAAATGAAGTTTCATTGTCTTAATTTTATGGCAAGGCAATCGACCGTAAGATTGCTCCTAAAATCACACACTAGTGAAAAACTCTGATGAAACTGACTTGTATTTTCATTAGTAGAACTGTGACATTCCAGTCTAGGAGAAAAAAATGGTTATCACTACCATTGCTTTTTAATGTTTCCTATGAGACGGCACTTCTTCAGCCGTTCTTTTGAAATGGTAATGAAGTGTGATAAGACTCTTAACCACCACCATAAACTAAGCCTGCCTGCCAGCGCTAGACTCAAATGGTCGGCAATCGGCCGGTGATATTTTATCGGTGCTTTACAAAATGCAATGATTTTGGAGCCAAACCGTGATTTTAATTTGCATTCACGAGAATACGTGTTAACAACGCGGTTTCACATCAGTAGTGCCACACAATGGTGATTGTTAAGTGCCTGCAGCACCGTAGGCTCTAAAAGTGTCTGCAACCCCTTAAAATACGAATTTATTCGTGGTTACGTTTGTGAGCATCATGGAGAGCGCATCTTCCTCAGCTCTGACCAGCGTAGCCAGCGTTTGTGGCATCTTCGTGCGCTGATACTCTCTAAAATCCTTCCTTTTATTAATTTTATATCGGGGAAAGCGCATAGATGTAGGAGGTATCTGATAAAAAATAAAGGCAGTCTCCTCTGGTCGAAATAGACCATAGTCCCGGTTCGGTCTGCAGTAGTCTTTGTGCATTCTCATAGTCTCCACAACTCATCTTCGCCTAAGTGTTATCGCCGTTCGAGCTCTTTTAGAGGCGATGACCCTTTCTTTCCACCTCCTCTGCCTTTTTCCACTTCAAAAGCGAGAGATTGTCTGCGCCCGATTTGGTCCCACCTGATCCAACCTTTCAAACAGGTCGAATCCTGTGGCAGGTAGATGCTGCTCATGTAATGATGGCAATGCCCTGCTCTCTTTTTGGACACTGGCCGTTGTTCCTTATTCAGCAGTGACCAGGAGACCAAAAAAGATGCTGTCTTTGGAAGGGAGCAGCGCTACTGCGGGTTTTCGGCCAATGCATTTTCTTGATATTGCCAGCAGTAGGTCCTGCACTGCTCTCTTTCCTTTACTATGACAAATTAGGCCAGTAATCAAAGGGTTTTTTAAATAAATAGTATAATGCAACGAAACGCTTACCAACTTCCTCACAAATGAGGCTGACTTAAGCAGTCCTGGCGTGTTGGTATTGTCATATTTACGATCACCACAAACATAATGCGTAGAATTAGGTGACATCAGAAAAGACGTGGTACCGCGTTTATGGTCGTAGAGGAGAATAATTTCTACGGCTGACCAAATGTTTTGTTGTTTGTGCATGACTCGGGTTGTCTTTGTGCCGCTTCTTCTCTCCGGTCCAGTTTACGTCTCTTTATTTAAAGATGCTAAATACATGTGTCGTTAGTAGCAGTAGTTTTAAACCATATTTACTCACCTTACTTCCTACTTTTAGACCTGTTAGTCAATCAACAGCGAAAGTGCCGCGCAATCACCGCAAAGACGGCTGTGATAAATTAAAATTGTGAGCAGATCCCCGATTTTGAGTAATCTCATTTGCAGGCACTGTTGGCAAAGGAGGAGAACGTCATTGAATAGTTGAGGATGATGACCGCCTTTGCAATACAATGCATTCTGTGTTTTCGTTGCAGACAGTTGGTAATGGATATTAATCCTCCGAAGTCAGTGGAATTCCGTAATACTTCTACAGATTTTACTACGAATCACCATTATCTACTGCCAATCCACAAATCCCAGCTCTCCTTTACAAGGCGGCAGATCGGAAAGGTAGCCGAGGAAACAAAGGGTTGAGGAATGGTGCCAGACTTCAAACATGAAGAAATTGGAAATATGGGAGAGGTCAGACATGCCGAAACAAAGGAGGTGAGGTGGTGTCGAGACGATGCCCGAGGGCGTTGAGGACAATAACGATGCCGATGGTGGTGGTGTCGAAGCAGATGTGCTGGACTTCCATACATGCATTTTTTGACCCCAAATTAAACCCACAATGATCGCGTCCGTCACCGACAGTGAAAGACGGTTGCTACCATCGTGTGCAGCCCCATACCCACTAAGTATTTCCCATTTAAGCCACTCGTATCATCATTAAGTCCACCTTTTTGTAAATTTGCCTCTATTTGAAATCTGGTTTACACAATATTTTGATTCAATGGAGGATCCAACCATTACCTTACCTTTCGCAACTCAAATTGCCAGAATGTCGGTATTAAATTTCTTGCCAGACAAGCATTTGTTTCGTGCTGTACTTGGGTCTTCTGCTTACGCAAAAGAAAAGACCCTGACTTTGGAATGCATAGAGCGCATCTACTTTTAAAATTTTTCCTCTTTAACATTTACAAAATCATCAGTGCTGCCGGTCTTGTGCTTGGGTAGGAGCTTCGTCCTCCGTGTTGGTATAAAGCGGAGTGTTCGCAGGCTTTTTAAAGTTGAAAGTACTCACACATGATAGTGAAGGGTTGGTGTCTCGCTGCCTCCTACACCTTGTTATACATTAGTCAGGAGTAGTAATTCGGATATGCATGAAATTGTCTCATCAACGTGCTGTGTTGAGCTTAAAATTTTATGCAGATTCAAGCACCAATGTCGAGTGCCACATGTATTGACGGTGTTTTGTGCTAACCAACGCACTAGGGCATCGGCTAATAATATACCCTCTCCGGAATACAAAATGCAGTTAGGAGCCCCTTTTTATGCATCTATTTGAAACTAATGGCTTTGTTGTAATTTGAATACCTGATTGGTAGTAGGAGTTGAGCTGTGACTAGGTGGTGAGCGATCCTTTTTTCGATCAAGAAGGCAATACAGTCGGCACATTGTTCCCGCTTATGGAATAACCCCTGATTTTGTGGAAGTTATAAGGTCAATTTGTAGTAAAAACAGGGGAACGGATGGTGATATGCCTAATTAGTAAATGGTCCATTGTCAAGATGTGCAGGCGCGGAGAGAGTGCGTCTTTGAGGATCGCATGGTGTAATCTAAGGATGCAGGTAAGCCATACTTACACGGAGTGTCTGTTGCATGAAGCGAACCCGACCCGGAGCGAGGTATTTACTATCGCCAGCACCAGCATAACTTCCTTTCTATCGCAGCAGCGTCGGTTTCATTCGTGGACATCCAATCGTGGTATCATACACCCCATCGGACCATCGCTTTGTACTTGGATCCCATGATTGCATCGCTTTCTTCTTTCCTGTGTGTATATTTTTCTGCCAAATGGCGCCCAACTCACGTTTATATTTGAACTCGCATTCTGTCTTTTCGCCTAACCATTTATTTGATGGCTTCAACCTGATGCTTTACTAATACAAATTAGATTCCCAATCGCTGTTATTTTAGGGGTCAAGGCACTTAACGATGAGGGTAATAACACAAAGCAGTTGAGATAGCATCCTCTGCAGTGATTGACCAAGCAAATCTCCGTTAATACATACGAAGGGTGACGTTAGCATTGGGAAGGACAAAGAGGGGATTCGACCACATTCTGAGACTTTACACGCCCTTGGCGCAGCTTCATCAACCCCCTTAATTTTAAAGGCAAGTACGAATTACATCAATGTAGTAGTGAAGCCGATTTCACCCTCATACTATACCTACCTTCACTCAAGGGCTTGACTATGCTTTGAAGCTACTTGAGAAGGCATATTTTACACGCCTGAGTGGAATATGGCATTCCTCAGTCGCTACGCAATAAGCTTTTGCTATACCTCGTATTGCGACAAACCTACAAAGGAGGTAGGATTTTGTAAAACGTCCTCTCTTAAACGGTATTGAAATTTAAAAAGCACAAAATATTTTACCACTTTTCGAATTAGAAGCCTTAGAAAAATCATGAAGTGAGGGGACATTAGAGTTTCTCTGAATGTTCGAATGAAGACGAAATCAACTGTCAAGAGGAAAAGTTTTGGAATCAATTCGCTTCACAAATGTATTGCTCCTTTTAACCTAGATTATGCACCAAGAATTGCTGGATTTGGGGATGTCTTCTAGCTGATTTGCTAAGTAGCTATTCTGTCACAAAGTGTTTCCAAAATTTAACCAAAAAAGCCGCAGTGTCTATCACAAACCTCAATAATTCATTGCGCAGAGCTATTCAAGGTTTAAATGACCTGAAGAACAAATTAGGACTTGCGTCGAATCCAAACTAGATTTTCCCATGTTCTTCTAGAGTGAAAGAGACCTCATTCACATCACAGTGGCTCTAAGGTTAGGTGTGGTGCAAAATTTTTAAAGCGGTGAGTCTACATGTGAGGGAGGATGGAATTTGGCTGTCATCATGCCAGACACGAGCTAGACCATCGCTTGCATTCATTGGTTGGTTCAAAAAAGGCATTGTGTGATACTCTTCACCCCGAAAAATGCCGTGCAGTGAGTCGTTGCCTTCAAATTTTCTTAGTTAAGTATAGGCGTCTTATTATGCACCATGCGTGCATTCAGAAATGCCATTCCCCTCTTTGGAAAAGCTTTAATCGTATAAAGGATACGATGCATGTGATACACATAAGTCAAGAAAAGATTAAACGGTTTATTTTGTGAGCAGCTATTAAAAGGAAAACGTGATAAAAAAAAATCAGTTGCTGTACAAATTGTGGGACCAATATCAAGGTTGTCCAGGATTTACTACTGAAACAAGCTCGCAGTAGTAGTTCTGATGCTGCTCCAAATTCATCATTATCAGACCTGTTTTCAGACGAATAAACAGCCGAATTCCGGGGTTTTTCCCTGCAAATTGTAACATTTTTTGGAAGCATATTACTTAAAATGGTGGCATAATCGAAATGTCATGTGTCGGCGAATTTTGGATGGGTTAGTGCTAGACTCGGGAGTGTGTAACCAACGTTCCTAATTATTCCAGGTCAAAGGCAAGTGACACAACCCCTTCTCACAACTTTGCAAACACACGGGCCTGCCGTTAGGTCAACCAATGCTTGATGATCTAGCAATTGCCGACATTGTAATCGGATGGCTATGAAATTTAATAAGTAAATTTTTGAGTTAAAGCGAAAGTACCAAGTTGTTGGTTTATAAAATACTAGCACCTATTTTATGTACTTTTGGAAAATTAAATATGTGTTTTAGTAATACCATGTTAAATACCATACACCCAGAGTAGATAATCATCCAAGCCGATACGAATAATGCCAACGGCATAGTATTTTATAAAATGACGCTTATCAAACTGTCGCCCTGATTTTATAAATGTCAGCAGCTTTTTTATGCAATGTCCGAAACAGACACAGAATGCTGACTTCCAAAAATGAATGAATGCGCCAATAATGCCTGCCTAAAATTTTACGTGGCAAGTAATGTGTACTTTGTTATGACTTCGCAAACAATCCAATCTATCCGGAATTTGTGGTTCTTTAAATACATGAGGAGCAGCATAATAATAATGTATCGAATTCTACCTTATAAGTATAATGTGGTGCATTGTGGCTTTATTACTGATAATGAAATTAAGTAGAGTGCAAATACTCTTTCCAGTAGTGGTGATCTGATGCTATTCATGCCGTCTACTGTTTATCCAAAAGAATTTGTGCATTTGACTGAGGGCTGGGTCAGTCGAAAAAAGACGAGCATTGGAACGTGTGTTTGCCACTGTGTCATGAGCAGGCTTTATTGTGTGGTTTAAAAAACTGACCTGTTAAATTCTGCCATTGACAAATTCCTAAATTAGAAAGGATTAGTTGAGCATATCTCAAAAGGGATGCTGGCCTGATAAAGTAAAACACGGAGTAATTTGACTTATCGATATTGTTTTTAAAGAAAACCCATTTGGCCCATAGGATATTAACCGCTTTTAAAAACAATTTTGCGACTACTGTCAGTTTTAAGTTTATAAATTACTAGATAACCAATGTTAGTGAATTTACCCCACCTAGAGCAATTCTTGAGGTTTTTTTAGTTGTTTAGAATATATTTGTGGTAAAGGCTACAAACGCAAGACAGTGAAGCTCTGCCCAACCCCCAAATCACAGGTCAAGTCAATCACATGGGTCCATAATGGCCGCAACTGTTTTTCCTTCTCTTTCCAGTAATAAGGAATTTTCTGTGAAGGCATACAAAGGCTAGTTCCACCTTTTCGGCCGAATTTTGTTCATTCGGTTCATATGAATGGCCTCTATTCCGCTGAAGGCTAAGGAATGCCTGAGGTACTCAACGTGGATAAGTCAATGTGGTGTAAGCGCTATCCCACCTAAGTTTATTTTTGTAAGTTTTGGCGAAGCCTTTGTTATTTTTTTACGGAACTACCATAGACACTTGCATTTTGTCCCTCAGCACAATCACTTGAAGTACCCTAGATGTGGCCCAGTAAAGTAACGCTGAAATTAAACATGGGTTCACAACTGTAACCGAGGAAACAATGACTGCTTTAGTGCATTTAAAATCAAGTGTCAGCTGGTAAAACATAGCCAGATGATTCCTGTAGCGCTGAATTGCAATTTTAGACAGAATCGACTAACTGAAGTAAGCTTCAGCCATATTTCCCTGAAAACTTCAGAAAGCATTCAATAATCTTCCGATTTAGTTCTTTTTATTTGAAAAAAGCCTTTGTTAATGTGAAGCCACAAATTTTACTGCTTACATTTTACGCATCATTATAATCTAATGTATTTACTTTGCCACGCAATCTGCGAGGCAGCAGATTAACTGGGCGAAGGGAGAAAAGTAAATAGATAAGGTGAAGGCAATCAAGTCTGTGGACTTATGCAGAAGAAAGAATTTTGGTTTAGGTTTAAAAAAATGCAATTTTAAACTAAGTGATCAGGGTTTAAAGCATTGAGTAAAACGTTTTAGAGACATAAAAATCTCGGACTTGGTTTCTTAATTGCTTTGACGAATAGACGCTTCGCATAAGAACAAATTTGGAGGAAAGTGGTGCCTCATGAATGACTAAAGCAATTTTTAAGTGAAAAATTCCGGATTTAATAAATTTTAGTCGACCCAATGCCAATCAAACCTAGAAGCTAAAAGAACGAGAGATCAATGTAGGCAGGTGCACATACATAACATCTGGGTAGTTTCCTGAAGACAAAAGATGATAAAATACTCCGAAAGGATATGCGTTGTCGACATAGAGAAGGAATCATGGCCACTGGCATCAAACGCAGACCCCGTCGCACAACGAAGGCATCATGAGGGAGCACTTTAGGTATTCCTCTACCAAAACTGAGGGATAGACAAACAATTACCGTATTACACATATTTTTGAATAAAAACGTCAGCGTTTTCTAGCATTTTAAAAAAAACTAGTGTTAATCCGTGCCTGTATAAAATTTTTTGTTGGTAAAGTGTTCAAGCATAATGTTTTTTTAATTGTTCTGCATATAGCATTCCCTTGCATCTTAAAAGATTCGTTTAAATTAGAGTGAGGACATTAATAGGACTTACTTCTTCTCCCTTTACTGACAGTATACTTGGTGCAGGCTTGTTTCATACTTATTTTCGAAATAATTTACTTCCTCTGCTCTGAGGAATTATTGTATCTTGAGCTGTGCCTGCAGTTACTCGCAAAATATGCCAAGGAATAAATTGTTCTCTATCTTGAGAGTGAGATATTTGAATGGCGAACAACTGCGGTGGTTGAAGAGCCGGCAGAAATAGGCACACACTTGAGCCAAGCATCAAGCTAACAGAGGCACATCTCTGGCTATTCTTTTCAAGCATAGCGAATCTTCTATTGAAAGACATAATAAGCCATACCAATGTGGTAGGATGTTCATAATAAACCTAACAAAGGGGGAGGAGGATGTGTCTGCAATGTTTATCTCTGTCACAGCATTATTAGCTGCATCCGTATTTCCCAGGAGCAAGACATTTTAATGCTGATGCATTATGGGGACATAATATCAACCTACTACTGATAAAATCCATGGCCGCTCTTGTAAATACTCCTGAGCATTCCGTAATGTTGTAATAAGCTGTACTAATATGGCATAATATTTATAAAAAAGGACAATACTCAGGTGAGATACACATGTTTGGCATGCAGCAGGACATGGGGCTCCTGGCATGGCCCGGAGGTCATCCCTCCCAGTGAAGATAAAGCGCAAGAGTGCCTAAGTGGACCCCCTTCTACATCTAAATACTGCACATGTTAAGATCTGCTAGGTAAGACGCACTCCCAATCCTATCACTTCTTATAAGAAAAAGTAATTTTTATGGCTTGAGATACACTGCAAATGCTGCATACCTAAACCAAGGTATATCGTCAAATGCTGCTTGGTTACATAATTGTCGATTTTATAAAGAGGTAGCTACGTCAAATCCCCTCGACAACATTTCAGGCAGAAACAAGTTTATCCATGGTGCAAACGCGGTATTAGACAGCAGAAAGTGAGTTTGAAGTCTCCTTTCCAACTGGGCATTTAATACATGTTTGCGTGAGAAGCCAGCAGGATACGTCAATCGCCTGACGGCGATGACGCCATTGACTACGGCGGGGGAAGCGAATTCTAAAGCCGATGAAATGTTTGTACATAAAAAGAAATCCTTCTTCAACCAGGCTCACTTCCAGTCACGGCGCTTTTTTAACTACAGGCTATTTTTGTGGCTTAAGGTTCACTTAAAATGCCGCACACCTAAATAAAGACGTCTTTAAAT